AATATAAAATGGTTCACGGTTGGGCGACTTCACGGGAGCTCCTGTGTTCATTCTCAAGAAATTTTGACTCACAGTGGCCAATCCCTGAGAAAAATTATTCTCATAACAAAAGAAAATATTCTCAGAAAGTTGGTTTCGATTACGATAACATTTCCTCGGTGTCTTACAGTGGTCTTTCTCATGTCAGAAGAATTTTGGCAACTGAAAGAAATCTCTCACAACAAAGCCGAATTGGTTCAAGTCGAGAGACACCCTTCGAATATTTCCTTGGTGCTAAAGTCACTGATCAGGTCCCTTCAAGACAGTCAACTTCCCCAGTAACCACAACAGAGAAGAGTCTCTCTCACGGAAAGAAGTCGACACACGTTATGAAAAGCGAAGATATATCGAGTGAAAGGTCGTTGTCTAAAGTTCTCCCCCCTGCTAGCTTACCACCATTACATTTACTTAAGGAAAAAACTCTAAAAGAAAAGCACAGAATGAGTCTGAGAATGAAAAACAAGATCGGAAATGAAGAACTGTGGGCTGGTCTGGAGCAATGCCGCTACATCAGGAGATATGTTAAAAAGTGAAAGATGAAAAATGAAAAAAATTGTTCCGCCACTTACAATATTCATGTCGCCACCTTTTGACAAGTGAATAGAGGGAGTCAGTTTCTAAAGAAACTGTGGAGAGTTTTAAAAGCTGGTGTTTAGAGAGAGCATTAACCCTCAAAACGTCGCCTTTCGACAGTCTTATCATATCCTCTGGTCGATTTTGCAAAAAGAGTTTGGGTTAAAGTTACTTAAGTTGTAACACAGTTAGAATCCCACTGTTATGAAGTATTAAGTTTAGTTAGTTAGTCAGTTAGTCAGTTCAGTTCGATTCATTCTTTCGTCTCAGTATTTAGAATGTGGTTACTGTATGAATTCAAATTCCGTAGTTACTTAGGTTCAAGCTGTGGTGAAAGTTTCCGAATTATGACAGTCTTGTCTAACTTGCATAAGTGGACGTGCTTCGTTCGTTTACTGATCTTGATTTGGACCCACACGAAAGTTCTTGTTTTGGCTAACGCAGTCGGAGGTTAATTCCTAGGAGATTAACCAAAGTTACACAGAATGAAGTAAAATGGATTATAATTGTGTATTGGAGAACCGAGTAATCAAAGAAAGAAGAAAAAGACAGTTCTGGAGTCTTGGTGCCATTCGCCGAGCGTGATGTGCTCGATAGCTAATTTTCCGCCCATTACTGGCGAAAATCGCCAATGTCTTGTAGTCCTCTGTAGACTTGAAAAACTTTGCCATCAATTAAACCGAATTGTTATCATCTTTACTCTCGTAAATTAAGAGGACCACTCAGTCATGATCAGTATTGTTTCCCCTTTTTTTTCATACTTGCAATGAAGTGCATTGACCTCAAATATTTGCAAGTCACAAGCGTTGTGTTACAGTCACGTGTCTGTTCTCAGCAAACCGTGATTACAAAATTATTTTCTTTAACTTCCAGCAAACCGATCGAAGAAAGAATCAAACCAAAAATCGAAAAAACAAACCAATCGAATATTATTTGAAATTCATGGGTAATTTAAGTTTATAGTATTTCTTTTGAAAAGCAGGTTTTTCGTTCACTCGAATCAATCGCCACATGCACGGGCATATTGCGGAAGTCAAGAAATGGAACTTACTTTACCAAACAAATATGTGCATTTTGAGCAAGCCGTCTTGGAAATTCCCCAAATCATCGCTAAAAACGAGCGACGATGTAAAATTATTTTAGAGAAATGCTGAGTGGCTTGTGATTATAGGTTCCAATATCTGCTTGAGTCAAACGGAAATTGAAATCAGTTTGTACAGACTTCGATTATCTCCGAAAGAATATGGCAGGAGTAATATTGTTTGGTGTTTTTAAGGCCACTATTGGCTTTCTTATGCGGAAAGGTTGTGATCTATTAGCGGAAAAGCTTAAGGATGGAGATGTAACGAATGAAAAGTTTCGTGACTGGATTGTGCGAGAAATTGACGCCGTCAATTTAAAGTTGGATTCAATAGCTTGGAAGGATCTTGGGGCGAGCATCAACTTTTTTAAAGAAGGAATCGTGCTAATCTATGATGCTTTGAAAAAATCAACGACTGAAGTAGCTATGGACATTGAGGAAAAGGCGTATGATGTTGACATTGAACTGTTCACCGCTATGCGTCAAAATTTGATTTCATCTTCTGAGAGAATAACAAGCACAGAACTGACCGATCCTGACGAATCAACGCAGAAAGCTTTGTCTGAGGCGAAAAAGAGATTTGAAGATGCCCGCAAGGAAGCAACCAAAGCCTTCAGTAACACAGCCTTACGTCCGGCTGATCGCATATTGGCCATGCAGTATCGAGTGTTGGCTACAATATTGGAGAATGCAGACAGCCCAAGCACTGCATTGCCCCTCTGTAGACTGCAGTTGGTGCAGCTTCACTCAATGGCAGTAGTTCAGAAGACCTTTCAAGCTGGAGTAAAGAGGAGCTTCAAGTCTGTTCTAAACAGGCATGAACGTAACGAGGTTATCTCAGCTGTTTGTCGCATTAACCACGCTGTGTTGGCAATCGCTCATATGGTTGGTGATCACAGATCCGCGCTCTTAGACTGGCCGTGCATCAGTTTGAAAGAAGAAGAGCTTGATCCTGTGCGTGACGCCAGAATTGTGAACAGGTTGAAGAAACTACAGGTGACTGATGAATTCTCCAAGCTACCTCACAGAACTGAGGAAAAGTCTACAGAACAGTGTGCTCTTTTAGACGTGCGGAACTGTACTATAAAAACGTTTGATGGTAATGACGATCAATTTTGGTCTTCCATCGTGTCCACTAGTGAACATGAAAGTGTGGAACCGACTGAGGAACAAGACAGAAAGTCCCTTTTGGTTGACGCAACTGACGCAAGTTACGTGTCCAACATCCAAGGAAAGTTAAGCACCATCCTTCTTCAGAAGAGAAGGCACAGAGTTCTCTCTGTGGCAGTGAACAACAATACCGATCAGTTGGCTGTGCTAGTGGAAGATGTGGTCTGTACCCCAAGTTCCTTCATCGACTATTCTACTCGATGTGAAGTAGAAGTGTTTGGCAGTGATGGACGTCTTCGTAACCGCTTTGGAGGACAGCAACTAAGAGACTCGATAGACATCACAACTACTAATGATGGAGGTTTTATGGTGTTACAACGAGACTCTTGCGTTTCCGTATTTAATGCAGATGGAAGTCATCTTTACCACTTCCGAGTAAATGGGAAGACTTCTCCTAGAATAGGTGCAGTATTCTGTTACCCACCAACAGATCATGTGTTCGTCGCCTCACTGAACGCAAAACATTGCTTACAAGTGTCTATACACAACAAAGATGGGACATTCAAGCGCAATATCCAAATCCAACATAAACAAGAAAAAGGAACGTGGTGTGTATCAGGAATTTTTATAACGAAAGAAGCACGCATTGCTGTGGCTATCAACAATGAGCATGGACACAAGTTACTCGTGGTTTGATTAACTGTGAGACGGAAATAGATAGTTTTAAACTAATATCGATAAATATTGCTGATGGGTCACATTTAATCTCCTAGACACAAGGTGAAGAGAATGCATTAAGGTAACTTTGCTTTCATCGTGGTCGAAAGTGTAGCTTTGATTCAAACTCCTCGATGTTACTAAACTTTAATTTTAGAAATTACTCTACGGAATGGAATGGTCGCCTATTAGAGCGATAAGCATCAGTAGCCTTTCATGTGACCCCTTGGAATCTGGGAATTTTCCCTAGTGATTTTGAAACGAAAACTTAATTCGTATGAACAACTTCGATTCCTAGAATGGCGCTTTTTAGAATTTCCAGGAAGTTACTGACCATGGAAATTTTACTGAACGTATTATTCTATTAAAAACCTTTCATGTGACCGCTTGAAATCTGGGATTTTTCCCTTAATGATTTTGAAACCAAAACGTAATTCGTATTAACAACTTCGATTACTGGAATGGCGCTTTTTAGAATTTCTAGGTCAGTAACCATGAAAATTTGACTGAACGTATTGTTCTACTAAAGCAAACTGGGGTCATGAATTGCAAGAGGATTAGATTTAGTGAATTTATCGAACAGACACTAAAAGTTCTCAAAGCAAAATTTTGACGACCCTCTTTGTGGTTCTACAATGCAACCTACAATGCGACCCTCTGGTTCCCTTTTTTTCCCCAGAAACTACTGAACCTATACGCGTAACGAGAGCTGTGAAAGGGCAAACCTCTCCATAACTATTCAAATACGTACATCACGGTAGTATTTGATCACACATGCAAGATAGAGCATTTTCTCGAAGTTTCTGGAAGTAACCCAGCGACTGGTAAGAAATCAATGAGTATAAGTTTCACTTTATATTTGAAACCTATCAATATTTTCTAAAGTCGTAACGTCTATTTAAAATAACTACTATTTAAAGTAGCGTGGAGTGTGTAGAATTGTAAACAGTAATTTAGGTGTATCACCAATTTTACTTTATCAAGGTATTCCAGATATGAATAAACGTTTCTGTGAAATGGGTACGCTATTTACATCTTAACTACAAACTGGGAATAGCCTCGGGATCCGGGACCAGAAATGGCACACCCTGTTTGAACAGAGTTGCTACTTCAAAGTAGATATCAAAGACAAGCATGAAGGAGAATGTTTTCTAGTTCAATAGAGAGCAAATCTTTGATTGAAGGTGGACACTTTATAGAAGGGTCCCGACAGGAGTGCTTGCATTGTAGAACCACAAAACAGCACCATTTTTCCAGAGGCATTGTGATAGTTACCCTGCGAACGAAACCCTGTTTGTTCTTGCGATGAAAATCAGGCATAGATGTCGAGGTTAAAGATCGAAGGAGACTTTGTTCTGGTCAGTAAACAATAATTGCTCACACATGAGTGGGCCACTGTAGTCAAATAAATTTATTCGTGAAAAAAAAAGGCACGTCCGAATTCCATTTGACGACGACGACGAAGGGACTGAGAAAAATCATACAAATCTAAAAAAAAAAACCTATGGAACGGATAAAATCGTAACATCCCCTTGACGGTCTCTCGTGGCCACATTAATGATGCAAGTGAAAGGAAGGATTTTTTAAGAATTGTACAGGTACCTCAAAGGTACCCTACAGTGCCCTACTTTATTCAGCGGTCAACCTGAAGCCACACATTAGTATACACAGTAGTAGTACACCCTATCAACTTTCCTTTAAAACTGGAAAGGCTACTGTCTTGATAAGCTACGACTCCAATTTCTCCCTATAGCAGTACAGTTTCCTAAAACGATTATCCTGGTTCAGTCTTGGTTGATAGCTCTCAGTAAAAGCGGTTGTTTCATTGTCTTAGGAATCAAAGAACATTATTATTTTAAGCGATGTCACAGGTCTATCAAAGAAGTTCGCCGGTGTGAATTTCATACGAAGAGAGTCCATCTTGGGTGTTCAGTTTGACCAAACTTCCCCTCGGTGGAACATCGCTGCCTTGGGTCCATTCAAATAACAAGCTGCAAAACAAACAAACACGACATGAATTAGCTTCACAAGGCTCTCAACAAGAGCGTAAGGTGAATACTAGAAGCGCGGAAGATAAAAAGAAAAACGGACGAGACCCTTAACAAGAGCACGATGGGGAAGGGGGGGAGGAGGCAAATAAATTCGCTCTGACGAAGGGCTAACGCTCGAAACGTCAGCTTTTTAACTCTTTACGGTGGCCAATTTACAATTTCAGCTTAGTTGATATTACCAAATTACCTTGTTACTCCCACCGACGCAGCACCACAGTTTCTTTAGAAACTTACCCCCTTTATAAATAAAAATCACTTTGGTCATCCTCTCCTCAACTTGGTTTCCGCCTCAATTACAAGAGTTGACCTACGAAACCTATTCTAGGTCAACATATGTATCAATAACCGGACAAAAGCTAGTTACCAAGCAGTGATGAATGGTAAAGATTTATAGGCAGAAATAGTAATATTTTGCAGATTTATAGAGACTGATTTTATTTTCCCTGATTTAAAGCATTTTTATCACAAGGTTGACGTAAAAAATCCTTTTGGAATAATAGGACTTTTTAAGAGAAACTTTACCTTCATCGAAAAGCATTTATTAACAGTTTAGAATCAATAAGAAACTATCAGTGCTGCTCGAGCAAATTTTGTACGGTTGCCTTTCGAATAAAAGCTCTATTAAATACAATCAAATAATAATACCCTTACTTGGCAACATACTCTAGGGGTGTCCATTGATTGAAGTCAGCATTAGGCATTCCCTTTCTGTTACCTGGTGTGTCTAATGTCATGCTGTTGTTGAGAGAAGAAAAACGCAGCTCGCACTTGAAAGTCAAACGGAAACTTGTCAATGCTAAATACTTAACACAATAAACTTTGATCAATTTTCGGGATTTCCCAACTGGAAGATATGTAAAAGCGTCCTATCTGCAACTTGTGTCATGTTCTATCATTTTCTCGAGACTGAGGGTTGACTAACAGTGTCTAGTGAAACAAGGAAAACATTTCAGGAGGTAAATGTAAGAATAATACACTAATTGAAGAACGACCGCGTAAAAATTTCACAAAAGATCACGATGCAAGGAAATAACACTTCCTTCACTATCTGACATTCTGTCATGCGCTCCAAGAAAAATATTCCCCTGTCGTTGATTGAAATTTTTTTTGGTGTAAGAACTAGAGATCTAAGTCAATAGGCCAAGTAACCAACAAGAACCCCTTCACTGCTTATTCTAGGTCTTGAAGACGGCATGAGCAACAACAAGCAGGTCCACTCCTTCTTAATGGGATGGTCGCCCGTTACAAACAATCTACCAACCCCCTTCCTAACATATTGTCAGGTTTCCCTGACAGTATGTCAATTACACCCCTGGGTGGAGAGATGCGCTGTGAAAACACAATGAAACCACTGGGACCCATACCATATTATGATAAATGATAATGCAGAGGTCATGGATACCACTTGGATATCTTGTCTCCCACCTGCCATCAGATAATAGTGTAATCTTCAAAAACTTAAGCTTCCAAACTTACGGTAAGATAGCCAGAACAGATGCATTGGTTGGCAGACCTCCTTTCTCGTCAGCAAGTCCTTTAACAAGTTGATGCACAGCAGCCTTGGCCATACCATAACCCAACATCCCTATAATTAAAAATTATTCCTTGAGCATGCGTTGGATGTGAGATGGTAAAAAGCCAACGAGGTGCATCGCGCCACGTTGCCAATAACCAATCCTGTATCCAATCAGCTTGAGAATGAAATAATTTATTTATTAAATTTCAATAAATACTGAACAATTGCGTATGCCTTTGTATGGCTTTGTTTGAGTCCCCCAACATAGGGCACAATGAATTTCCATATAAAGTGACTTGGAATATATGAGCTGATAACCACAGTTGAGCAAACCAATAGGAACACTAGAAATGCATTATTTGGTTTTGGCAATTTAATAACAAATGATAATGATAAAGACATTGAATTTAATCCTGTGCGCTGATTTTGTAAGAAAAAAAAAACAGACAAATTGATTATAAAAATGCAACTCAGTGAATTCAGGAATCTCTTTACAGGATGATGGTAATGAAGCTTTGCAACGAGGCCTTGATATTACCCCCACAAGGGGTAGCTAGCTCCTTAAATGTGACAGGTGGCTGGGGGGGGGGTGAGGAAGAGAGATAGGTGGGGCAGGGGTTTGAAAAAGGCAACTGTGAAAAAACTGAAATTATATGAGAAAATTATAGTACATTTTATCAGAGTGGGTATGGGCCTAAAGGATAGAGTTTATAGATCAACTTGGAGAGGCAAGCTGGAGCACTTCCTGTAATGCAACCTATCCCAATTTCTGTGGAGACAGGCTCAAAAGTAAAGAGGGTGTGAGCTGTTTACCAAGAAAACATCCCAGTGATGGGGCCATGCTCTAGTCCAGACAAACCAGTTTAGTATCCAGTCCACTTGATCAACATTTCATAGTCAGAGCAATGTCATCTGCGACAGCAAAGTTTTCCAAAGGTATATTTGTTCCAATTAAAACATGGTCAACAAAAGGAAGCAGCTTTACCTGGTGTAGCTCCCAGTGAAGGCTGAGCTCCGGTTAATGTCAACAAACCATTCCTGAAATTAAGGAAAGATAAGTTAGAGAGATGAATTGTAAAACTATGGACCACCCCTTTTACACCTTTAAAACTCATGCTTTGAATTAATTTAGAAGTTTCCTAAGTTAAGTGACCATAATCTTTAGATCTACTTGCCTTAAATTCTTTAATTATTTTTGCTATTCCACATTTTAGTTTTGATAACCACAGGTTCAACAGAAACCATCTGATAACTATCTCCTTTTCTGAACTTAGATTGTGGTGTGATTCAAAAGTACTCTGCCAAAAAAATAAGTTGACACACTCACTTTTTTACCATTTCATCTGATTCAGAGAAAAACTATAGTGTTACCTTGGAAAGAGGAACTAAGCACCTGTTATGAGATTATGGCTTATTGAGAAAAAAAAAGAAAAAAAGAACCTGCATGGAGAGAAATATTTAAAAAGAATAGCATTTGCCATTTTGCAGTGTTTAAATGTGGCCCAATACCTACTCTTTCAAATGTTTAGAGGCAATACTCGCAGAAATAAGAGAGGTCCAAACACTCTGCTTGAACATCAAGTCTGCATTCTTGACAACAGCTGTTACATAAAAAAACAACACTTCAGCTAGGTTACAAATTGAAGCAAACATGCAAACTGAACATGAAATTATTCAGTGGCTGATTTTTTTGTTTTTGTTTTCTTTTTTGCATGAATTGATTCTAACTATCAAATTGTGTCCTTCATGTTCAAAAATTGTTATTAGATAATCTCACTTGAAAGAAGGCAGCATAAGCATGGTCACTGTTCTGTGCACTAGGATGAATTAATTTGTTACAGTGATTCAACTAATACAAGAGGAGAAATGCTCACCACCACATGCACTTACAACAAAAAACCTGTCATGTCTTATCTATAGTTGCTGGTAAATGTCCTGCTGTGACCAGGAAGGTTTGCAAACCCCCGTGACCTCCAAAGCTGTACCAGTTATCAGAAGGTTTAAAAAATATGGCCTTGTCTTTGGTGCAAGAGATGTGCTAAAAAAACATTCCCATCTTCCTGAGGGAGGGGTTAGAGTACTACTAACAACTTTCCTCAATACTGAAATACTGTGACATTGAGGTCTTTCTTACAACATTATAGGAATTAAAAAGTTGGCAAAAAACACACACACACACACACAAACTTAAAAGGCATTAACATTCCACTCTGCAGGAACTAGCAAGGCTCTGGTGTCATGGGCCAATCTGTGTGACTTTTACTCTACCTTTGCTTTTGGCACTTCCACCAGCCCATCCACCCGCAACACAGATTATTGCATCAAGCTTGTTACCATCGAGGATCTCCTCCACCTTGGGCTGGATCTGAATATCAGCAATGATAAAAGCACAATGGAAGCCTTACTCTTATTGTAAAAAGTAAAAAACAACCAGATATCTGTGTTGTCTGCTAAAAATCCATTATACTTTTTAGTACTAACAGGGATTCTGACTCATTTTTGAGACAACCTTGATTTTAACCATTTCACCACCTTTGGATGGCCTCTGGTCTATGAGAAGTAAATTGATACCCCTTCAGGTTGCTCCCAGTATTGTTTTCATCACTGATCATTAAAACCAAACACCTTTACTGCAATACAATCATTCTGCTTTTTTTATTTACCTGTCGTGTGAGGCTGAACTGGGAAGCAGATTTCAGCCCAATTTAGTTGATCAGATTGTTTGGGGAGAAGTTTGGAGATCCCTTCTGCATTTTCTCAACAGGATTAAGCATTGTTGTGATGCACCGTTCTGGAACATTATTTTTGGTTCTCCATTTTTTTTATTACAAAATAGAAAAATTAACATATTAAAATGGAGAACAATAATTTAATTCCAATATGCTCATTAAGAATTCAGGGAAAATGTCAGAGGCTGTGGAATAAAGTACAGAAACAAGATTCGCAACAAAGAATTGAAAGCAATACTTGGCTATCACTGCACGAAAAAATGGACTCTCACTATATTTGCTTAGTGCAAATCTAAAAAAATTTGGTGCAAACATATATAGCAAAATTAATATAAAGCAACGGTGGTATTAATGCCATATTTGCTCATACATTTGCACCGGGTAGCAAATGTATGAGCAAATGTGGCATTTACCATCACAATGCTCTGTATTTGCTATATGTTTGCACCAAATTTTCTCAGATTTCCACTGCACAAATATGATGTAAATCCGTTTTTTCGTGCAGTGTATTGCACTTTGGACAAGAGACAGAAGGTTGAAGTGAGTGATGAAACAGGGTTTTGTGTAGCATATGACACACTCAAAAAAGCTGCAAAGGATTGTGGAATATCAAATTCTTCCACTGTTAAATATGCAGTAGATCATCAGAGGCCTTTCTTTTAGAGGAGATCAGACAAAAAAAACTGTTTGTAGGAGAAATTTAATTCTTTTTATTTAATTTAAAAAAATGGCAAAACAATTTATTAAAGAAAGGTGCACAAATATAATTTGGAGAATATTTTAATGACAAAATTCTAATTGTCAGGCCCAGGGGTTTCATTAAGGGCCAGGCACCGGGCAAATTGACCGGTTGTGAGGACGGCTTTGCCCACCTGATTTGACCATCTGGAGGAAAGTTTATCTTATAAAGAAGTTCAGTTCAAAGAGTTTTGCCCGCCTGTGAAAACCAGTTGCCCTCCCACAGAAAACATTAATGAAACCCTTGCAGGCCCTCATGGCTTTTAAATTACACAGAAGTTTTTGTCTTGAATTAGATGGTTTTACTGAGGGGCTTAAATTAACATTTGAATATGAGGGTATTCAACATTATGAATTTCCAAAATCCATTTCATGAGACATACAAGCAATTCACAAGGCAAAGAAAGAGAGAGGAGATGAAGAATCATATCTGTAAAACATTTGGAGTGACTCTCATGAGAATCAAATAATTATGATGTTGAAAATCTCGAGGTATACATCAGACAAAAAAATTGAGAGCGAAAAATTTTAATTGTCTGATGCAACAAACAGGTAATTTTACAATTTACTTCTTGCCTGACGTAATATCATACATTTTATATTTTACAACAGTTATCTGTGGTTAATTTCACATTTATTTTTTTTGGTATAATTTTATAATTAATCATACTTCCTTACTCAAACCCTCACAGTTCAGTTTCAATTTAATTTCCCTCTTCAAATTTGGGTTGCTTGCTGACTAATCCTTTTTTGGTGGTTGTGCTTTAATTCCTTCTTCAAAGTATTTACATCATCCTTTCTTTTTAACCCCATTTCCAATTTCCCCTTGGTCTTCTCCATTCAAAGAAACCTCTTGTACTCTTCAAACTTGCAAGAGTATGTCCCTTTATTAATATATCAAAAGTTAACAGTTGTTGCTCTCATGTGGAATTCAACCACTTCAATTGAATTTTGTGCTTTTTCACAGGTCACTTGAAATCTCATTGTTAGTTCCTCCAAAGAAGGCATCTTTAACCAAAACCAAAACCAAAACCAAAAGAATTAACCAACTTTTTGACCAAATGGTTTAATTATGGGCAAAAAATAAGCCAATCAGCTGCCTACAACTACTCTTGAATATTCAGTCAGTCAATCACAAATAAATAAAACTGATCAATCTCTTTCACAACTTGAACTTGGTTGAACTCAGCATCAGAGATTGAATGATCATCCATTGCCTTTGAAATCAGTCTACTGACTGACAGGTGTTCTACCTATAAGCAAGAGCATTAGTTTTCTCATTTTTTATTTATTTTTATTTTATTTTAAGTTGTTTAATTCCAACAGTAACTGCAGCCAAAATGAAGCTAAAAAGACCAGCTAAACATGCTACAGCTGCCATAAAAGGAATTCCCATCATGATCCTGCTCAGAGCAACTCCCAGACTGCTTGTTGTGAGTGCAGCTGCCATGACACCAGTGGCCATAAATGTTGTGTGACATGTGGACTTCACTTTGTTAAAACCACAGGCAACCTGGTGGTAATGAGAAATTTCACTTTCAAGTTCTTTTTGACAATCACAAGTCTTCTTTAATCTAAAATCTATCTGCATTTGTAATGTAAATCATCATTGATGTGATGTCATGATGTGAAGTGAGCACTTGGAATAGGAGGATTTCCCATCAAGCTCACTCTAAATCCTTCCACAACTGAGGTCCTTAAAGTCCTAGTTCCAAGGCTGGATGATGGGGTAGTAATTGTGCTTTGCTCACTCTTACTCATCTTCAACCTGGCAGTAAGTGGGCTTGCAAACAATTTCCTTGCAAACAACGTATCAATAGCTCTGGCTGATCTACTCACTGTGAAGTTTGCAGGACAAATCGCAAAGGACATTGTTGGTTGTGATCTATTCAAGCTACATTAGGACCTCTTCTTGACTGAAAGTAAGAGAGCAAGTATGTCCAGAGAAGGTAGTCAAAATCTGTAGATCTTTCAAAGATCAGATGCAATGTTGGGGATAAGATGACTTCAGGTGTTGACTAAGAGAAGAAGCTTGATGAAGTTCATAAAAACAAGTATAGGATTCCAATGGACCATAAGATTCTGAAGGATCATGGAGTCTTTTCCCCAGGAGCTTCTCTTCAAGCTTGAACTTGTGTCTGATAGTAGTGTTGTGAAGGAATCCTTCCCAACAAAACTTGTTTATGAACTGAATAACATCCAGATTGAGTATGAAGTCATACACAGTCAAGAACTCACTAATGAGGCCTTGAGAGAGATTCATGTGTGAGCATGTCACTCATCTCAAGATAATCTCAATGGATAAGGGTTCTGACACAATCATCAAAGAGAGCATCAATGTCCCAAGGAGGTCAATGAAGGGACTTTTTCTTCTCTTCTACCAGTCCTACAAAGTAGGAACAAGGGATAGTGAAAAGAAATTCAATCCTGATATCCCTGAGGTAGAGGTTGCACTATGAATGGAATCCCAAGTAAGGGTTTACAGTCAAGGAATGAAGGCAAGAGATATGTGGAAAGATGTCTTTGGAAGATTCAGGAAGGAGAACAGTGCAATGAATGCAACAGACTTTTATGCTGGAGATAGAAGCAGTCTTTTTATCAACCTCAGAAGCAAGAAAAACAATGAGCTGCACTGTTCAGGATTGAGATTGGTGGATACAAAAAATGGAGTTCAGTTAAATAGCAATGAACAAGAAAGCACCAGGTTCAGGAAATGTGAAATGTAATATCATCAATAAAGAGCTTGAAAGTGTGACCTTAACTGCTGAGAATATATATCATTTTCAAAACTTGATCATTATCCTGTTGTATGAAACCATGAAGCATGCTTGCATGCCCAAAGATGAAGTTGTGAAATTCAAGCATGATGAAGCAAAGGCATGATTTTAAATGTCACACAGTAAACTTGTATGTGCAATTCAAAATTAATCAGACCTGTACTTTGAAATTGAGGTTTTCTTCATGATATCCCTTTAAATTCAAGGTGGCCTCAAACATATCCCAGAACTGGACTTTAAAATCAAGGTTTACTCAAAAAAACCTTGATTTCAAAGTTGTCTTCTTGCGTTAATTGCCTTTAAAATCAAGGTTGTCTCAAAAATGAGCCAGAATCCCCATTTAATAAGCTACTCCATCCATAATAAGAAAAGAGCAATGGTTGTTTTAAATAAGTTTTAATATACCTCTTCATTTTGCTCAGTCCATGAGTCTGTCTTAGAAACAACCACATTTGCATGTGCTTCTTCGTTAGGGAACAAGTCAACTGAAGCTACCCACTGTAAATGAAAAAAAGAGCATATAACTCCTTGTGGATCAGATGCAATTGACATGGAGCCATTTTCTCATCATTTTATTTTACGCGGAGAACAGAAAACTCACATAAATTCCCCTCTAACTGGATGCCAGGGTCATCACTAACATTTTCACTATCAAGATCTACAAGTATGACGTACTTGGTCTTCTTACTTTTGGTGACAGTCATTCTCTATAAAGATCTTTTGAGAATTTTGTTTTAAGTGAGACCTTACCCCAAAATGTAGAGAGTGAGACTAGACACCCAGAAAACTTTTTCACTGTCTCTGATGACACCTTGGATGCACAAATTCCACAGTAAATAATCTTGTAAAGAAATGTTGTCTAGCAGAATAAGTCACTTGTAGATCCCCTCCTCCTTCCATGTCCACGGGGTGTGGACAAAATGTGGGGTAGGTCATGGCCTAGGCCATGGCCTACCGTGTGCCCTACCCTATGGCCTACCAGTGGTCAGATTTTTAAAAACATAAAAATAATATCAGTAAGAGTCGAACGAATACGCTGGTGTACAATTCTATGCCTCTAAAAAGGGTATACTAGGAGGTCGCTAACATGATTTTCAACATCCGAGAGAACGAAACAATGCAAATATTACAGCACTCACCCAAGCACTCAACCATAACAGTAGGTTAAGGGGGAGGGGACAGGAGAGGAGGGGCCAATATTGTGTAGTCACAGAGGATATGCAAAATGGCGGCTTCACGATACAGGCTACCAGTTGGTAACATTATAGTGGAGTGCTAGAATAGTGTAAAAGTGTAATGAACAGTGTTATATCGGACAACACATCCAGGTAAGAAAACACAAACATTATGTGCCAGGCCAATTTTTTAAGTGAATAAAGGCTGGTAGTTTCTAAAGAAACTGTTTGGAGCTGCATCGTTGGGGGTAACGAAATAATTTGGATATATCAACAAAGTTGAAATGGTAAATTGGCCACCGTAAC